CGTCAACACCAATGCCGACCTCCTCTCGCACACCAGGTAAGTACTCACTCGCTCCCCTCTTCTCTTCCCTGACTCCCACTCATCGTCTCCTCCTTCCGAAGACCACCTTCGCCCTCACCTCCTTCTGCGCCCTCCTGCAACCCGGCTATGGCTGCCAGCGCCTTGCACCCCAGCTGTGCCCTACCGCTTAGCGCCAGCCAGCTTTCTCACAGCCAGAGCGTAGCGCAAGCACTCGCGCTCCCATGCAGCAGCGTGCCTGAATTGGCCAAGATCCCTGCCCACTCACACATTCTGCCTATATGCCTTGCTGCGTGTGGGCGGCCTCCCTCGAGCCTGCGCCTGGGCCCAGGCCCAACACAGATGGGGCCCAGGTAGTGCAGTTGCGCCCCTTATGTCGGGGCCATCATCCACATTCAGACCCCGTTCCGGTTTCCCATTGGTTCGCTCGGCCTCTACGACACAATGCTGCTTTTCCATAGGCCAGCGTCCAATGTGTGATGTGTCGGCCTCCCAGACTGGTGCCCAGGGCTCAACCAACTGAGGCCCTGGGCTTAACTGCCTCTGCAGGAGTCTGGGCTCACGATGCACTCCAACCAACTGGCGTGCGGCAACTGTCTGATACCCACTTCGTGAAATGAAGAAAGGAAGGCCTCTTGTGGATATTCTGGACCGCCTTCACTTAGGGCGGGCACGAGGCTTGTTGGGGTCCTTAGCCCAGATCATGTGAATGTCGGCAAGGCCCCATTGAGGGCTCAATCCTCACATCCCATCCCCCTTAGCTTCGAAAGTCCGCTGAGATGCTTACTTCGCAGGTGCCTTCCCCTTTAACATCCTTTCACATTCTGCTACCACTTGAGGAGCTGTGTCAATCAGTTCCTCTGTGGTGAACCACCGATCTTCTTTCGGATCCGTATGATGCCTGAACCTGACACGATACTCTCTCTTGGGTTTTGGAGGTCTCCCTCGACCCCACTGTGATCCACAATGTCGGCGATGTCCACGTGGCCATCCATGGTTGGGGGCAGCATTGATCTCCTTGAAGGAAATTGATCTGTCTCAGCGAAAGACGCAAGCTTTGAGGCATGAAAGACAGGGTAAGCGCGCAGGTGTCCAGGGATTCGGATAACGTATGAGGGACCATCCAAATCAGTACCTACTACATCCAATACTTCCCAAGGACCAAAATATTGTGGCATTAGTTTTCTAGAGATGCCGAACTCCTGTCCTAGCTCACTAGCCTTTACCCAGACACGTTCCCCTACATGAAATGTGGACTGTCGATGATGTTTGTTCTCAGAAACAATCATTGCTTCCTGAGATTTCTTGATGTGCTCGACAGCTTGCTGCAGCAACTTCTCATACTGGACACCATATTCCATGGTTCCAAGGGTTGCAGCAGGTCGGTTTTCTGGCAGGAGGAAGTCTAGAGCAGATCTAGGCTTCCATCCCAAGTGCAACTGATTTGGACTGACGCCAGTAGTGTTGTGCACGGCGTTGTTGTACAGGCTGGCGATGAGAGGCAATTTCTCATCCCAGTCATCCTGGCTGGGCTTTATGTAATGCCTCAGCAGATGCTGCACAACCCGGTTCATCTGTTCGGCCTGTCCGTTGGCTTCGGGATGATTCCCCTAAAAATAAACTACGCAAACGTTCACTAGATGGAATAACTAACCTTTTGAACCCGGCCTTTTCAAGAAAGAGTAGCCCGTCCACCATCACAAACTCATCTTCTGTGGCCTTATCTTTCGCCTGCAGTTTGCGTATGATGTCCATCATGTCAGGGTCTTCCTGATAGGCTCCCACCAACGATTGAGTTACTTCTTCAGATACCCCAAATTCGGAAACTAGCGCCCCTAAGTAGTCTGCCCTGCGTGACAGCGCATCCGCAACCTTGTTGTACTCTCCCTTCAGATACTCCAGCTTGAAGTCATACTGATCTATGACCTCAATCCAGCGCTTGAGTGCATCAGAAAGAGCAGGTTGAGTCTTGATCCATATGAGGGTTTGATGGTCAGTTCTCAAATAGAAAAACCGCCCCAACAGAAAGTGCCTCCAATGGACAAAAGCCTTGTAGAGGGCATAGA